ACACCCCTGATATAGTGTTTGTTGTAAAAGGATCAGATTGTATTTTTTCTTTGTAAACTGAATCTGCTTTATGGTTTTCACTTTCAATTAGGTTCCTCATTACATGTTTTAACTGGTAAAAGTAACCCTTCAGTCAGTCATTAACCAAATCTAATGACTCTTTCTTATTGCCATGTGGTATTAAAGTACTCAAGTCATATTCAACATTTAGTTTTGATAAGGAAAGTTTGATGTTGTTGTACTACGGGAATATCACTTTTGATGTACAGCACTTTGCTCCAGATCTTAAATTACTCCGTTCAGATAGAGAAATATCAAGGGAGGAATCATTTACCCGAACGAAACACACAGCAGTATCTCCATGGGGATTGTCAGTGTGCCAGACTGCAGCTCCAAAGGAAGCAGATATCAATGTTAGCAATAAAATAAAGCAGGTTGGTGATTTGTCCTCATTCTGGACCGTTGCTGTGTTTTCTTTTCTTTTTAACTCTTAAAACAACTCAGTATCATGCATCGCTTAAGGGAAGTGTTTTAACAAATATCTCTACCGCCAGAAAAGATTGGCTTCCTGTGTCGATGCAGTAATGATAATGAAGTGATGGAAGTGAACGGGCCAAAGTGTGTCTTTGTGGACACATGAGACGGAAATAACTGATTCATCTTTCCAGATCCGTATCCATCCTGTCAGATTTGGCACTTTCTTGGAATATCTGTTACTCAACGATAATTATTTGGACATTATTAAACGTCATTATTAAAAACAACAGTTCTTGGTTCTTTTAAACTTCCTGTTATTGTGCAAGAAAAAAACAGTTACGTGTTTAGGACATCAAATGTTAGCCAAGTGCTTTCTCCAGATAATTAAATAGTGTGATGATTAAGGCTTAATTTGACCAAGCTGGCTTTCATTAGCATTTCTGTGAACTGTCTCACTTTTAAACACTAAATCTTGCCATTTGTGCTGATGTTGTAATGTTTGGAAGTATAGAAACTATTCCTTGAAAACACAATCAAAGCATTAACGGTAGGATAGGTAAGAATGGAGAAACCAGCTCGAGTGCACTCGAATTTGAAAGTACGTAACCGAAAACAATCTGCCCCTTCCTCCAGACTTCCTTACAGAGCCCCTCCTCCAACACACACGAACGCGCACATGACCAATGAGGGCACGAGATAAGTTTGACTAAAATGATTGGTCGTGCTTTTTACAGCGCCACAGCTTCCACAGATGAATTGTTTTAATGTATTTATTGTCAAAGCATTTAATATATTCATTGCTATCGGGATGTTAAGAGCATTCCATGGAATATAACAAGAAGTGTTTCTGAAGTGAATTACCTACCCCACCTTTAACTGTGTGCAGAAGTATTGCAAATCCCAGTAAAGCATTTTGAACTGCAGGTTAACAAACTCCTAAATACCTATTAGCATTTAGCTACGGTTTTACTTTTTCTAGTAGTTTGAGCTAGTGTACAAATAGCACCCTACTGAGAATGCTTGTAAAACATTCCCACACTGTGCAGTATCTGCATTCTTCTCTTCCATGAATACCAGTGATCAATCTCTGTAAACACAGGTTTTCTCCGTCTGTCTTTCGGACCCTTCGTCAATCAGTGGTCGAAATCAAGTCCTATGTCTTTTCCAAACCACTGTTCCTTAACTCTAGGGCAAAAGCGTGTTGGGGTTAAGGAAAGAAGGGAAGGAGGATTCATCAGGATTTAGGAAAATATTTTGATTGATTGATTGATACATTTAATTTCGAACCAGTAAAATAAATAATTACAAAACAAAAAAAATGTTGCAGTGCATAGTCATGTAAGAGAAATCAAAACAAAAAAAAGATATTTACAACAACAACAACAACAACACAACAACATTAGCAACATAAACAGTCCCACATCTAGTGTTCGAAAAGGAGTGAGAAGAAGTATCATTTATTTAATCTCACCCCCTTGTCCCTAAATGATTTATTTATAATCTATAATCTGCAATAATTATCATTATTATTAATTATTATTGCTTTTATTATCAATCTGCTTTACCTGTTGATTTACAAATATACATATACACAAAGAGACTGCAATGAGACAGGGAGACGTCATTAATTACAATTCTCAATACAGCCGACTTCTATGAGACATCTAGATACTTCACCCCATGTGTTCTTATGGTGTTGTTTATGTGGGCTTTATAAACGTGGACAACAGAGACAAATACATTGTTCATTACAAAGGTTGGAATTAAATAAATATGGTGTATTTACTTAAATATGTTAAGTAAACATGAATCCCAACTAGTATGTTTGTATGATAATATTTTGAATAAATGTAACTGTATGCATTATAAGCATAACTTGTTAGGCCTAAACATTTATCATTTATCACATTCCTTGTTTTTTGTTTATTTTGTATTTCCTTTGATGTCTTAAAGGTATGGTATGTAATTCACTTCAGAAACACTTTTTGTTATATTCCATGGAATGCTCTTAACATCCCGATAGCAATGAATATATATATATAGTGCTTTGACAATAAATACATTAAAAAATATGATCTGTGGAAGCCGTAGCACTGTAAAAAGCACGACCAATCATCTGAGCCGGCCCAACTAAAATAACTGGATGGCCTACCTGCCTGTCAGCCTTCCATCTGTGCACAAACTTATCTCGTGCCCTCATTGGTCATGTGCGCGTTCGTGTGTGTTGGAGGAGGGGCTCTGTAAGGAAGTCTGAAGGAAGGGGCTGATTCTTTTTGGCTGCGTACTTTCAAATTCTAGCGCACTCGAGCTGGTTTCTCCATTCTTACCTACCCTACCTTGGCTTTAAGTATAGTTTGTTGCACTGTAGCTTTGCATTCGACAGAAAAACCTTTAAATCGTTGAAAATAATAAAGAAAAGTTTGCGCCTTCCTTAAGAAATACCATAGATATTAGTCGGTTAAACCTAGCAAAGTATTTTTCTGTGTCGAAGGTGAGCATATTGAATACTCCTAGAACAAAAAGTGTTTTGAGGATGTTGAAATGTTCTGTATGTGTGTACAAAGAACGATGGGAAAGTAATGGGGAGCATTGTGGAAAAATAAGAAGTTCATATTTTTTACATTACATGTCATTTGTTAGACGCTTTTATCCAATGCAACTTACATACATTCAGTACTGTGGGCAATCCCCACAGGAGCAATTTGGGATCAAGTGTCTTACCCAGGGACACAACGACATGCTGACTGTAGTGCAGTGGTTCTCAAAGTGGGGGGCCCCCAGGGGGGCGCAGAGGCATGACAGGGGGGGCGCGAGAGACCAGGAGGAAAAGTGGTTATTAAAAAAATATATATATGATCCAGTACTATTACGTCTGGGTCTCTGTGTTTCATTAAAGCTCGGCTCTGTGTGTGTGTGGAACGAGCCATTTTGTGTGCGTGCGCGAGCGAGAGAGAGAGAGCGCACCGGTACCGGAGATCGTTGATGTTAGCTTCTGGTACTAGCGAGCTACGCTAACGGATATAAGGAGTTTTTTCAACAACAAGGTGGAGGAGAGTCCTCTCCTGTCAGACTGAGAGACTCAGTGAGCTAAAGGACTCTCTCAGTGGGTCTCAGACGTTTTGGTCACTATTAATGTAAACAATTATTTCCGAGGCACACGTTTATATGATCATTATAGTTATACAAAAATAAGAGAATAAATTAAAAACAGGTATGAAATACTATATGACAGTAAAACAAGAATACAGTTTAAAAGGGTGATTTGTAAAATATCTATAAAGAAATAATAAATCTGTTTACAGTTCTGTGTTGAGAGAGGTATCCATAGATCTCTTCATTTTGCTCTCAAAGTGCACCAGATTGATGCATTTAACTTCAATATTTAAAAATAAATCTTCCTGGGGGAGCTTGCCCCCGGACCCCCCTATGTGAGGTCCACACACCACCTATAAAAATAGCACTTTACCCCTGCTTACACCTATATGCCGTGAGCTGATTATCGAGCCTTCATTGTAACAGTCGCGGGTACATTGTGTATATGCGTGGGGAGTGTTGCAGTAGAAAGTTCCACTGTAGCGCCCGGTACATTAATGGAAAACCCTAAATGTTTGAGCACCCTCCATGAAACGTCAAGCTACCCCACAGTACCCCCAAAATAAATCTCTGGCTCCGCCACTGAGCCTGACTATTTGTGTTGGGGGGGCCCGACTTTTTTTTCTTCTCCAAAGCCCCCCTTTGGAGAAAAAAAAAAGCCTGACAGAAAAAGTTTGAGAACCACTGCTGTAGTGGGACTCGAACTTGCTATCCCCTGATTCAAAGTTCAGCACACTAAGTTCAGCCCACTGAGCCACAGCCTCCCTATATTTTCTTGCAGAGAGCATGTGTTTGTAGTTATAATTGTTTGTCAAGATTTAGAAACAAAAGACTTCACAAAAACACCCCAAACTGCTTGAAAATGAAAATGATGTGTAGCAAATTAGATAAAATGCATTTCTCTTTCACGAAAAGACATGTAGTGAAACAATACTTTTAAAGCTTGCCTCATTTGTAGTCATTTTCAGTACACTGAGAAGCAACCCACAACAATAGAAATAAACACTAAACCAAATGTTTTGTAAACAATAAAACTCCTTTTTATTCTTTAGAGATGTTCTCATATCTTTGTATAGTTTTAATCGTGGACAAACAAAGCTTTATTATTAGGGCTGGCTCAGGCTTGCATTGAGCAATATCCTGGGTCTTATATTTTGTTTTATGGTACTGTATTTTATTTGTTTTATTGCCTTGACCATTCTCCAGGGCTTTTTTATTTGTATTATATTTTGTTTTAGTTGATTTTATTTTTTTAAACATTCACATTACACATAAATTGGATGTTGTATTTTAGCTATATTTTTTACCCTGTCATTAATTCAACTGTACAAAGTCCCCTGTGAAAAATGTGTAATTTCTGATATTTGTCGATATAAATAAAATGTCATTGAATATGTTATCTTCCTCCCTGTGCTGCCTCCTCTCTCCAGGCTCACGCTCATGGCTCGTTGGTGTACCTGGTGTCCTGTCTGGGCAGCATGGACCACAGCTTTCACCACACACTGCTGCTGGAGATCAGAGCGCTGACAGACCGCTACCCGTGTTTACTGGGCGGCTGCGGGAAAGACATCTACAGGATGAGCAACTCCTTCACCGCTATAGCTCGCCTGCTAGGGAGGAGACTGGAGGAGAGCACGGCCACGCACTGCAGGTTAGTCACGCACATTCACAGGCAGTGGTGGGAGAAGTGCTCAGGTCTTAAAGAGGACATATTCTGCTCATTTTCAGGTTCATATTAGTATTTTATGTCTCTATTGTGACATGTCTCCATGCTTTAATGTTCAGAAAGCTCTTTATTTTTCTCATACTGCCTGTGCTGCAGCAACTCTTTTCACCCTCTGTCTGAAACCAGAGCCCGGTCTGCTCTGATTGGTTAGCTGGCCGACTCTGATGTGATTGGTCAACCACTTAGGCATGTCCAGCCCCTTAGCCTAACACGTGCAATGTGTTGGAGCACTAGTCAATAGAAATGCAAGTGTTAGAGATGTCACTATGTTCCAGAAGTAAACAAAGGAGTCCTATAGAGTGCCACAGTGACGCGTCCTAAAACCCCGAAGTAAACTCCTTCCGGTTCCTTCGACAAAAACCAATGCAATTTCTCCATAGGATTTTGGAAAATAGCTCGAAATAAGGTCTGCGGTTGACACAAATTGAAGAGACAGATCACGTTTTGTTCAGCCGGATAATATCCACATGTCTACCCTACTTTTATCATTTTTGTCTCTTCAATTTGTGTCAACCACAGACCTTATTTCGAGCTATTTTGCATTGCATTGGTTTTTGTCGAAGGAACCGGAAGTGGTAAAATGCTAACTTACTTCCGGGTTTTAGGATGCGTCACTGTGGCTCTCTATGGAGGCGTTTCAGGCAGGGGGGGGGGGGGGGGGATTTTATTGTTTACTGACCATTTACATGCACAGAAACCTATATAACACACTACAGGAGAAGGGAAACCCCAAAGGCCTCTTTAAATGCTTCAATAAAGAAAGCCTGCTGTAGCTCCAGATGTAACCTACAGGCATTAGAGAGGTAATCACCTTCTCTTCTAACAAGTCAAGAAAGCGAATAATAAATTATCCCAATTTGTTGTATGTATGGATTTCTGGGCACGCTCAATTAGCTGAATTTGTGAATTCAAAACAAAAATCTAAGTACGCCTGCTGTACAATTGAATCTGGATCAAACATGATAGTAACACAAGTTTAACAAAATATATTTCAATACTGATTCCTATTTGAAACTAAAGTGCTGTGTTTATCAGCATGCCACAGAGAGTAGTCGAAAGTTGCACAAAGCCAAGAGGATACACATACTGAGCCAACACATGTATTCAATTTTTTGTTCTAAGACTTAAAGAAATGTGGATTGCCTTATGTCTAAGTCTGACCTCCGATGACTTTGTTCATGTTACTGCCATATTTACAACAAATGGAAGTTATAAAAAAGTGCTTTAAATGCAGTGTGCATGCTCAACATCTGAATGTGTGTTAATGTTCATAAGTTTACTGGGATTCATCTGGCTGCAGTGTGGGAACGACACGCAAAGCATTACCCGAAACGAGAACATGATGTGCATGATTGGAGGCTTCCAGAGACTTTGCTTGGGGTCTTCTGGAAAAACGATAGAGGGGTCGAGAGAAGCAGGATGGTTTATTAGGGAAAGAGCAGGGGGGTGAAGAGGGAGGAAAAACAACAAACGTAGGCAGTTGGAATTCCTCTTTCAGAAAACAAGTGGAGTGTTTAATGAAGTTATAAAGGGGGGGGGAAATAGCAACACATCGTGCAAGAGGGAATCATTTGTTTGGTTTGGGAGAGAAAGAAAAGATAGGGGGAAAAACAAAGCCAAAGAGGTGAGATTTTGCCAGGAAAAGGGGGACGCATGGGGTGAGAGACCCAGGAATAGAGCCAGTCACCGTGAGAGGGCCAGAAGGGGAGAAAAGGGGGGAGAGGTGAATAATAAGGCTACTGAAGTCCATCCAAATGTGTCTGTTCTCACATGCCCAACACATGCAACCCTTCGCCTTATAGTCTCTGTGTGTGTGTTTTACAGGCTGGACGAGATGTCTCCCTTTGCCTCTCTTGCAGGGGGAGGACGGGGGTCAGAGCAGCGGCTGCAGCTGAAGATCCAGGCCTTTGAGGATAAGATGGGGGAGGAGGTGGGAGAGGAGGAGGCGGAGGACTCTCCCGCCCCGCAGCGACGCTACAGCCTGAGCCAGGCCGTCAGGGAGGAGCGCAGAGAAATGAGATTCAACAGGTCGGTTAATACGTAGCTTTACAGCCCGTAATATACTTATATCTTGAGTGAAGGAAAGTATTTTTATCACTGTCACTGGGTAACCTGGTCAAATGGAAATATGGCCAAGCCTACAATTTTCTTTTTACTTTAAACTTAAAGGTGGGGTAGGTAAGTTTCAGAAACCAGCTCGAGATACACTTTTTGTTATATTCCATGGAATGCTCTTAACATCCCGATAGCAATGAATATCTTAAGTGCTTTGACAAAAAATCCATAAAAAAATGTCATCTGTGGAAGCCGTAGTACTGTAAAAGTAATCCAATCCGTTTAGCCGGGCCGGCTAAACGGATTGGATTGCCGCCCTGTCTGTCAGCCTTCCATCTCGTGCACGCACAAATGTATCTCGTGCCCTCATTGGGCGTGCATTGCAGCAGTACTTCAATGACTCGCCAGCAACAGGCAGCCACTTTCACCAGTCTGCTGACGTCATGTGCGCGTTCATGTGTGTTGGAGGAGGTGCTCTGTAAGGAAGTCTGAAGGAAGGGGCGGATTCTTTTCGACTGTGTACTTTCAAATTTTAGTGCACTCGAGCCGGTTTCTGAAACTTACCTACCCTACCTTTAATTAAACTAAATATATAAACGTATACAATTCATTATATTATTTTATTTATTTAACTATATTATTATTATTATTTTTATTATTTATTTATTTTTTAATTCAGCCTTTATAGAATGTCTATTATTTAATTACTTGTAAATTATTATTGCCCTATTTATTTTATTTATTATTCTTAAATTGGTTACGGTTCGGGAGGTATTACAGTTAGTCTATGGTTTGTATGTAGGTGAGTAATTTGCCTGCCATGCTCAATTTAAAGTATCTAAAAATGTACCTACTAACCTCAACTAGTGTCTACCAGCTAAGGTTGCTACCTTACAATCTACCTTATGTAAGAAAGGCACACACTGTTTACAAAAGATCAGTATCTTTAACAAAGTAAAGCTAATGCAAACAATACACCTGCCATGCACTGAAATCCAGGCATTTTACTGTTTTATATGGTTTTCTTAGGTTTACTAAATTATCGTCAACAATGTCCTCTTGAATGCCAAAGCGTCTGAATAGTGTCAAAAACCAAAAACAGGAAGCAGACCAAATTAGTTTAGACTTTTAATTTAGTTGATCAGTGGCGAACCGTCAGTGCCCTCTAGGCCCTCTCTAATATATATTTTTTAAATAGTTTTTATTTCGATTTTTTATTAGTTTGACCAAAATAACTTGATTTAATTGTATTTAGAATAACATTTCCAAAGAAATAAATCCTTTGAATCTGCCTATTCAGTTTCTGTTTGAATGTGAAGGGTTAAATGAAAGAAGCTCGTCTCTTCGAGTTACTGTGAAGAGAGGAGGTGAGTGGTGGTCCTGCTGTAAATTCACAGAGGGCCCGCTACAGTAACTGAACAAGAGAGTAATGTCAAATGACCGTACAATTGCCTAGGTATAAAAGTCACAGCTCGGCACTGTAGTTGATAGTTTACATTTCCTGTTTTTTCCTCTCAGGTCAAAGAGCTTGGCCCTGCATGCTGTGCGCTCGCGCTCCATCACCTCCGACACCGGAGAGGACGCCGAGGGCCTGGAGCCGAGTGCAGACTGCATCTTCTCACAAACAAACGTGAATTCACTCTTAGAAAACCAGGAAGCACCGCCTGCTGAGAGCAAACTGAGGGAGGACAGCTCGACGCTCATCCCTGATGTCAAAGAGGTGGAGAACTGTCAAAGCAATGAGAAAAAGAAGGAGAACGAGGAGGAGGAAACTGACACACTCTTCATCCATCTAAGAGACAATATGGAGGCGATCAGCGAGTTCTGCAGAGACATCTTGCAGCAGATCCCCATTCCTGAGCAGTGTGTGATAGAAGGTAACACAAGCAGATTTCTTTGAGATATGATTTAATGACTGTGTTATTGCAGTAGATGGTGGAGATAAGTGTGGTCCACAGAGAGGAAGGGGGAAGGTTTGTGTGACCTGCTGAACCTGAAGGAGATTACAGTCAGAGCTAGGCTTAATTAATGATGTGGTACGAATACGCCTCGTCTTCCCCTCTCTCTTCATCCTTTATACAGTACGTTGAGCCCGCAGCGCGCAGGGATTTATTTCTATTGGAGCAGTTTCTTTATTTTACTATTGCATGTGCTGATCATTCATTTAATCCCTTCCAAAGTTCATATAAGTGTATTTGTATTCCTTTAACCCAAATAATAGTCAGAGTCCTTATATAGAGTTATCCTCTCTGGACTGACACCTTTTTAAATTTAACTTTCTATCTTCGACTTTCTGTTTCCAGTTATCAGCCCAGAAGATGTGATCATAGGATTTTTTCTGTTGAGCTCCACAGTTAGGAAATATATTAAAACAAATCTCAATTAACCTGTGAGTGTGCTCTTTAGCTAGCTAACTAGCGTACGTTCACTATCTAACAAGCTAACAAGTCAACATTTGCTATCTATCTAACAAGCTTGCTAGCAAACATTAGCTATCAATATAGTTGGAAAACGAGCATTAGCTATTTACCTGGTTATTTAACTTTAGCTACTTTACAAGCTAGCTTACGTAAGCTACCTATCTAACAAGCTAGCTGGCTAACTTTAGCTAACTTCTAACCGGCCGCTCTCATTTAACCCGAAGCTAATCACAGCTCCAAACAATGCCAACAATTCCCATCATCTCAAACTTAATAGCAGTTCATTCAAAAGCATAGCAAACTTGTTTTGGCAAGTAATGGTGAACTACTATGCAAGTAAAAACGTACTTACACTTAAGTAACACAGTAACACACTAACCGACACAACACGCAAAGTGTAAAATAGATAGGCTGTCTAATAATGTAATTTTTTTCAAATGCAGTCTCAACGTCTTATTGGGGTCAGTGGGAACAAGTTATTGTTGGTTTGGGATCTTTTCATGTAATGGGAAAAATGTAGAATATTGCAAGACCTTCATCTGAAGACTCTTTTGACCTGTACTTGTTCTGAATCTGAAGATAAATGACATACTATTATATAAATAATATGAGCCAAACTCTATTGGGCAAACGTCACAGAGCTAATTTGTTAATGGTAAAAATGAATCAAGGTAAAGAAGCAGAGAATTGTTTTGAAGTGGGCAGGGTTATTGAATTCAGTTTTATCTATACAACACACTCATGTTTAAGTAGAAACAGCTGAATGTTATGCACTGTATGAAGTACATTTATTTATGGGTGGTGTTTTGTGCTTGTGCTCGCCTGCTTTAATGCTGTATTTCCTGCAGTGTGTGCCGAGTAGAAACAGCAGGTCAAGCGGTTCATGTAAAAACAATGAAATGAGAAACCTCTTACGTCTCAAAACTAATCGAATCTACTTTCTTAAAATGTTGTAATTCATTTTCACATTTCCTCTCTCAATCTTCTGAAATTCAGGGACTACATATTTTATTTTTCATTCATGCCGTACAATTTCTGCTTATTTTTAAATGTTCAATTTTATTTGCTTTGCTTACATTATTACTTAACTGTCATGTTATTTCCCATATTAACTCAAACTTGATACAGCCCCTCCTGGAATGGTAACTCTGAGCTCAATGAGATATAAATCATACACCTAAATTATCGACTACCAACTCCAACTCCAGCTCCAGCATGACATATGCATTTAAAGAGGCCTTAATATGCTTTTTGGAGTTTTCCCTTTATATAATAGAGATTTTCATGCATGGATTGTAAAGGCTAAAATCCCTGTGTTCCCTCAATAGGGAGTTTCTCTCCCACACACACCCCCCCCCCCCTGCCTGAAACACCTCCATAGGACTCCTTTGTTTACTTCCAGAACATAGTGACATCACTATGGAACACTCGTGCTTCTATTGGCTAGCGCTTCAACACATTGTACCTGATAGGTTAAGCGGTTGACTCATCACAGCAGAGCCGGCCAGCTAACCAATCAGAGCAGACTGGGCTCTGGTTTCAGACAGAGGGTGAAAAGAGGTGCTGCAGCACAGGCAGTATGAGAGGCCCCTTTAATACATCTGATACTCATGAAACACATTTTGTTGGGCAACAAGATCTCTGAACCTCACACACTAGTATGTGTGCCCATATGTTACAATACACATCAGTTCACACTTCACAAATCACACAAACTTACACAAAAATGCAATTACAGTACAGCCCCACCGGGGACACGGCTATAGTCTTTTGAACCTATTAGGAGACAGACAAAGCTGTCACAGATGATGATATTTTGATTGACTGGAGGGGATGTTTTTGCTCAGCCCTTTGGCCTGAATGTCATTTTAACTAAGAGGCAGCCAGGAGTCAAACACACACACACACACACACACACACACACACACACACACTCCTAGACAGCCACACGCACATACACACACGTATGCACAAAAGGAAACTAGACAAAAAATAACAAACTCCTCCTTTGCCTCTGGTTAATTGATTACATCTGAAAAGAAATGTAAACATACATCCGTTGCACATGTACGCACACATTAATTACACCATACATAATTATTGCTAAGTGCTTAATGAGAATCAAGCCCCTAGGCGCTGAGGATATGATGTCACAGGTGGTCTCAGCTGGATGATGTCATCATGCTGCTGACCTGCAGAACCCCCATCTCAAGGGAGGAGGATTGCACGGAAGAGTGGATATGCACATCCTCACATCTACAAACACACAGTGACACAAAACAATATACAGCATCACCCACAATCGAGAACATAAACAAACTCTTGGAAACACACATGTCACACATGTGGGAGTGAAGCAGGACAAACAGACACACACTGTAGTTCAACAGTGTTGGGAGGGTTACTTTAGAAATGTGTCCTGTTACAATTACTAGTTACCTGTAAATGTTAATGAATATAGGTTCTTTATTTTAAAATGTATTGTGATCCGGCTAGTACTTCCCAAGTTTTTAGAAATGTACCAGTAATCAGATTGTTTTTATATAACTGTAAGTATATAACTTTTTTGTATCCTGATTAGGTAATCCTGTTACATGTTATCTGTTATTCCCCAAGCCTGTTTATATGCATGGAGGTTTAAAGATTTTACCTTCATATTGTATGGCGGCCGACAAAGGCAAACATGTTACATCGGCCCAAAACATTTCCATTAGGAGAAACACGCTGCAGTTTCAAAAACAATGCAAATATAAAAACACAACTATGCCAAAACACATTTACCAACTTCACAACACATGCAAAGTTTAACTAAAAGCGATGCATAAACGAAACGCCACAAGAAGCTCAAAACACAAAGCAGGGGACACTAAAAAGTGACGCTAACAGTTCGGAACGGAGCGCTTGTTGGCGTTTGGGTATTATAAAGTTGGTCAGTTCATGCATTTGAAAGGAAATTATGTTTACCTTCATAGCAAGAAAAACAAATTAAGGTGGAGTTTTATCACTTTGAACCACTTCAGTCACCTGGAGCTCGTATAGTTTTACTTTACTGTTATTAAAGCATGTAGAAGATATCCAGCATAGCCAAGAGTTGTTACAGTTTTCTGACAAGAACTAAAATACACTTTATTTATTTAAATATGATCTCTAGGGAGAAGATTGATACCACGCATACATAAGGCTAAAGCCAGCAGCCAGTTATCTTAGCATCTCAGCTCAACATAACTCTTTATTTTGTCTGTCAAGAGCTTATAGATGAAAACATGTCAGGCATGGAGAGAGCTTCTCTTCCTTTACAAACAGTATTTTTGGGGGTTGGACAACTATCACATGCTTTGCTTTGAGTGTTATCCATCTATAGCTTTATTTACCATGAAGCAAATTAACGCATTACCAAAATTGTGTAATTATTGCTTTTAAAACCGAAGAAATCGTGAACCTGTTTTACCAGTTAAATCGGGCCATAATCTTATTTTACATACAGCTAAAAGACTACTTAACTTTGTGTACATGACATGAAATGAATACGAACTACGAAAATAAGGCACATAAAAAAGACTATTGTTTTATTTTGATTCAAATTACCAGATTATTTCCATGTGAAGCACAGAAACCAGCTTTGAGGTGGCAGTGTGTGGGAGGTGGTGGTGGTGGAGAAGACGTTTTGTGATGGTTACGAGCCGCCGTGTCCTTGCATGCTATGAATATATGCTCCTAATGTTACACAAGTCCATATGTGCAAGAGAAAGAGAAAATCTTACTCACTCTGGTTTTACTTTAATGCCAGATGCATTAAAGTGTGTTTTATATGTTTTTGTGTGTGATAGATTCAAATCGAGGATGTGTGGCCAAGCTGACGTTCTCCTGTCCTCTCAAGGGCCACTACTGTCTGTATGCCAAGTCCTGCTTCAACATGACCAGCAGACAGCCTCATCTCTGGATTCACATCATGCTGCTGCATCTGCAGGTGAAGAGAAAATAGGTTTTTATGAATGACAAACAAAAAATGGTCTGTTCCACTGCGTACCAACGGCTGGAACTGCAGCGACAACAACGTAAAATGACAGAAGCACTGATCGAGGTTTTCTGTAACTGTCCAAGTCTTTTTCTTTTACCAGTCTTTAAACACTACAGAGTCCATACCGTGTTTCTGTTAGTGTTTACTTCCTGTCTGTCTTCTTCTGCTGTTCCCTTTATTGTTTACTTCTTGTCTGTCTTCTTCTGCTGTTCCCTTTAATGTTTACTTCCTGTATGTCTTCTTCTGTTGATCTCTCTGATGTCCAGCTCTCTGGGTGTTTCTCAATGTCGAATACGCTTGCTTGGTAGCACATGTATTCCGAGTCACTTGCTTCAGAAGCGAGGCAAGAATACTTCCTGGCATTCGGAAAATAAAGAGTGGAACAGGCTAGCAAGTGTGCAGGTGTGCGTCATATGAGAGGCCCCGCCTTACATTTTCCGCCACAGATTTGGGGAAATTGGTCCGTGCGCAAAGCATTGTGGGGATTTTAAGACCGCGGAGTCTACACGTGCAGCCTCGAAATGTTCTCATTCATAACACTCCGTTCGATGTCTCACTATGGGATGCGTCTCATCGCGGAGCAAACAGAAGCATCAATCTCATTACGCCAATCCTGATTGGCTGGAGATCTTGACGTCAGCGTCAGGGAATTCACCCCCTATAAGTAGCTTGCGCCACGACGCATGCGCCATTCAAACACCTCTTCTCGCTTCAGAGCACATCTCTATGGTAGCCGGACAAGCTTAACGGTCCACAGACTGAACCCAAATAACCATTTTGGTCGACGGGCGCTCGCCGGCTACTCCTTCTGCTTCGCAGGAAGACGGTAATACTAACGCCAGTTAGTATTGAAATCGACCTCGCCGTTCTCTTTCCCCGGAAAGTAAGGTAGGTCTGATTTTTTCAAGCTAGCGTTAGCTCGCTCCCTCACTATCGACACCACGGTAGCGAGGACGTTTTTTCTTTTCTCTTCCCCACGGAGGAGGAAAGGATTAAAGGAGCATACTGTCACACCAGTCAGTATTCTCCGGGAATAAAAGACCCACACCGTCCTTTTCTCCGGATTAAGGACAGGGTGGTAACACCTTTTTTTCTCCCAACCTACCTGTTGAGAGCGGGTCCTCTCCACGCCACGAGGCGAACAAGATGGACGCCTCTCTCCCTCACACCAGAGGAGTCAGGGACTCGGTGGCTCGACTCTGTGGCTGCGGGTTGAAGATCTCGGGCACAGACACACACCAGGTCTGCTCGTCCTGCCTCGGGCTGGAACACGCCCGAGGCGCTATCGACAACCCCGGCTCGTGCGGACATTGTGTCCGCTTCACCGTGAAGAGCCTCCGCCGACGGCTAGCACGCCAAGCTAGCCTGTCGGAGCAGGACCCCCCCCATGTCCACTGACCTGCCGGCCGGCAGTCAAGACGCGGGGGCATCCGCCACAGAGAGTGAACCCCTCTCCGTGTCGGTCTGGGGCTCATTATCTGCGATGGCTGCAGAACCGGAATCCCGCGCCCTGGCAGGCCGGGACCCGGTGACGGCAAGACACGCGGGAACGGGACCCCACGCTTTACCGAGCTGGGGCTCCCGGTTAGACCTCACCATGGTCTCACCCGCGGAGGATGTCCTCGAGCTGGACTACGATGAGGACGAAGAGGACGCCTCGGTGTTCCTCCTGTCCGAGTCGGATGAACATGAAGAGGACATCTTCATGTCATCGGCTCAGGCTGCAAAGCCTGGAGCGAGGGCTGCTCTCCCGGGCGATAGCACACCAGCTTCGCCCTGTCTGAGCATGGACCTGCAGGCCGTGTGTAAACGCGCCGTGGCCAGACTCGACATCCCGTGGCCTGAAATGGCCAAGGAGACCCTCCAGGTCCCGCTACGAAGGGAAACATTTTCCCCAAGCAGCGCGGACAAAGAGGCAACTCCTTCCGGTCTTCCCGGAGATGTTGGATGAGGTGTCGGTCTCGTGGAGAGACCGGCCCTTCAGCAACAAGGTCCCAATCCAGGGTGCCTCCTCCCTAGACTGTGACGGAATGGAGAAGCTCGGCCTGCTCCGCATACCGCCCATGGAACCGCTGGTAGCAGCCCACCTCCTACCGAGGATGGGCCCGTCACCAAGCAGGAACCCCACGCTGCCGGCAAAGTCGGACCGATTTCAGTCGACAATGACTGAACGGTCCTACAAAGCCGCAGCGTTGTCCGCCAGGGCCCTGAATGTGTCCTCGCTGCTAACCGCTTACCAAGCGGAGCTCTGCGAGGACCTGTCGGGTAACCCGGGGGCAGCCACTCTGGACGAGATGGCAGCGGTCACAGACATTTGTCTTCGTGTCCAACGCTGCGCCGTCCAGGCCACGGGCAAGGCAATGGGGATCATGGTGGTGCAGGAAAGAGCGAGATGGCTCAACCTCACCAACCTCCCAGACCGGGAAAAGGAGGATGTGCTGGATATGCCCATCGTTCCCGAGGGAATTTTCGGCTCCGCTCTTGCTTCCATGCAAAGGAGGTGTGAGTCGAAAAAGAAGGAGGACGAGGCACTCCACCTCTGCCTCCCTCGAAGGGTCCAGCCGCTGCCTTCGCAGCAGCAGTCCTTCGCCCAAGCTGCCTCGAACCCTGCTCGGTTTAAAACACCGAAAACGCAGAGGTCGCAGCCCGCCCCGAGTTCCCAGCCCAGGCTGGAGACGAGGGCGAGCTGGCCTAGAAAATCTCTGGTTCCGGCTGCAGCTCAGGCGCAGCCAACCCAGAATTTCGGCCAGCAGTCGAGGAAGAAGAAGCGAGCGGCGTGACAGCCCCTCCTTCTCCCCTCTGTGACAGAGCTGGAAGTCCACGGTTCCCAGCTCTAAATGTGTTCCCGCCGCCTCGAGAGATGCCTCAACACCATCCTCAAGTCCGCACAAACACATGTCACAAATTTGTTGATTCTTCTGTCATAAAACATTTGCCGCTGACGCATCCAGGCTTCAGGCCGAGGGCGCAGCTCGAAAAAATGATAAGAAAAACAATAAAACCAATAAACAGCCCGTCAACTGTTCCCCTTCTGAGAGCAGCTACGGCATCTCTCAAAAGGCGGATTACAGGCGGGTCTGTGAAGGCACCACCGTCACGCGCATGCGCAGTGCCGGCTGGAGCTTTAAAGGCACCACCGCCACGCGCATGCGCAGTGCCGGCTGGGGTTGTGAAGGCACCACCGTCATGCGCATGCGCAGTGTCGGTGGGGATTGTCGAAAAGGGGCACCACTGTGTTCAGACACTAGAGGGCCCCATAACACAACAAATAGAGACTCAGAGGGGAAGAGACGTGACATCTCCACTGGCTCTAAGGAGCATACAGTGGAAGATGCTCACATCATCTGCTTGGGGTTTTCAAGACAGTAACACGGGGCTACAGACTCCAATTCGCTGTCACCCCCCCCTCGCTTCTCGGGCATTCTGCATTCGCAGGCCCGAGGAGAGTCAGCCCATATTCTGGAGAGAGAGATTCTCTCTCTCCTAGAAAAGAGGGCTATATCTATTGTACCCGCCGAGCAGAGTCAGGGTGGCTTCTATTCCAAGTACTTCCTCGTTCCCAAACGGGGAGGGAACGGAATTCGGCCAATACTTGATTTGAGGGCTCTGAACAAATATCTAAAAAGATATAAGTTCAGAATGCTCACTCACACATCTCTGCTGCGGCTCGTGCGACAAGACGACTGGTTCACATCAGTTGACCTGAAAGATGCGTATTTTCACATCCCAGTATATTACCCACACAGGAAATATCTGAGATTCGCACCCCGGCCCCCGGGCCTTCTGTACGCGTTCCCACCCCTGGCTCTGATACCCCCAACTCTGGCCAGAGTGAGAGAGCAACGCCACACACTTATCCTGATAGCTCCGCACTGGCCAGCTATGTACTGGCTAGCGGAGATATATCAGCTGCTGTGCGGGCAGCCATGGCAGCTCCCACTACGCAGGGACATACTGTCCCAAGCGGGGGGGGCGATCTTTCACCCACACCCAGAGCGCTTGGCTCTATGGGCCTGGCCCGTGAGTGGTACAATCTGAATACAGTGTGACATGAAGCTGACCCTGGCAGCTGCCAAGCGAGCCAGTGGCACTCATGCACTATCTGTACAGTCTTCATGCACTCAGTTCGCCCCAGGGCAAACAGAGTGTGGTTGAAGCCCAACCCTGCCTTTATCTTAAGGCGGTCGGTTCGGGTACCACATTTGACATTGAGGCATCCTCCCCGCCACTGTATTCCTCCGGGGAACAGCGGCCGGATTTGCCGTGTCCAGCCCGTGCTTTACGCACGTACAGGGACAGATCAAGGGTGCTTTGTCATAATGACCAACCCCTTGTGTCCTGGGCTAACCCTTATAAGGGCAAGCCTGTTACTAAGCAACGGCTCTCCCACTGGTTTGTGGAAGCAATTGCTTTGGGGCTCATACGAGTCAGAGTTCGCAGGCACCCTCGGGTCCGCGAGCTCTTTCGACTCAGGGTCTGGCTGCATCCTGGACTCTGTCCAGCTGGTCCTCGCCGCTCACTTTTGTCCGCCTCTTAACAGGCTGGACGTTCTGCTCCCAGTGTGACTCAAGCAGTGCTGGGCACCTGGTTGAGTCAGAGCTCTACCTGTTAAGTTCTGGTTGGTTTGGTGATTTTCGAGATAAGCTCGTCTGACAATACGGGAGCTACAATTTCCCATAGTGAGACATCGAACGGAGTGTTATGAATGAGAACTATAGGTTACTTACGTAACCCCAGTTCTCAGAGTAACATGAAGTGAGATGTCTCACCAGACGGCCCTCCTTGCTATGGTGAAGCGAGAAGAGGTGCTTATTTTGAATGGCGCATGCGTCGTGGCTAGGGTTGGGAACCGAAACTCGGTTCCAGATGAGAACCCATAAGAAAATGCCGGGTACCCATACAAAATACACAATTTCGGTTCTGCTTAACGGTTCCTAAACGCGGTAGACCCTGTATTCCAGCGGGTCCGTCTGCACCGCGGTGCTGCGGTGACCCGGTGGAATACAGGGCGGACCTGGAGAATCACAGAACGGCCGGTCGTCAGCGGGCCGTTGACGGCCGGCTCGGTACGCTGACGGCCGGCACCGCCCTTCATTTTTTTAAACGGCATCATATAAATTGCGCTGACAGGCGACAGAGGTCCACAGTTGCCCCGCAGCGATGCTCCCCCGCCCTCCCGTAGACATTTCACGAGCTCAGTCACTTCATAACACCAAAGATAGGTCGCGGTAAACACTCTGAAGTGAGGCTCCACTACACTAAAAAAGAAAAAGAAAAGGCAAAGTGTAATGCCTGTTAATAGCTTGCCACAGGCATAGCTCAGTTAAAATAAAGCACAGCTATTGTGCAATACATTTGTATTGCATGTATATTTTTTAGTAACAATTTCAGTTAAAGCTTTTAAGAATAAATATATTTTTGTTATCTAAACGTTTGACCTCTTTATTTTACAATTTTGGAATCGAAACGGGGAATCGATAAGAACCGGAATCGATAAGCAGAACCGGAATCGAAATCGGAATCGATAAATTTCAAACGATACCCATCCCTAGTCGTGGCGCAAGCTACTTATAGGGGGTGAATTCCCTGACGCTGACGTCAAGATCTCCAGCCAATCAGGATTGGCGTAATGAGATTGATGCTTCTGTTTGCTCCGCGATGAGGCGCATCCCATAGTGAGACATCTCACTTCATGTTACTCTGAGAACTGGGGTTACGTAAGTAACCTATAGTTTCGCTACGAAGTACGCCGGGCTCGGTAGAATTCCAAGTATGCTGGACATTGGAACAGTCCTTTGGCGGCACTCGATGACGTAGTATGCATGAAATAGTGGCTCTGGAGCAGCTTTCCTCGACATTGAGAAACACCCCCTGTCTCTTTCGTTCTCTTTTTCTCTTTTTCCTTTCTTTACTGGGGATAGTTTAGCCGTCATGAATCTAAAGTTTTGTTCTCTCCACAAACATTAAAATAAATATTCAAAAAGTATTCCACTGTGTTTTCTGATGGAGAAAAAAAACTAATGTTTGTTGTCCACAGCTGACGTTAAATTGACATGTTTTTAATATCAAAATGTGTTAAAAGTAGTTTTGTTTTACCAACATTTTAAGTTTATGTCATTTTCTTTTGACCAGAGTAAGTCCAGTGTCGCTCTGTGCTCCAGGGATGAGTGTGTCCAGAAACTCGCTTCTCTTTGGGAGAAGACGCAGCTGAAAGGAGCTCACAGCTTCCCAAAGGCCATGACGCAGCAAACCACCCCACACAGGAAGGTACTGAACAACAGTGTGTGTCTGCAAATATGTGTGTGTGAGCTTCTGTTACCGGCAGAGGGAATGAAGTCATTGGCAGTAAAAAAAATCTCTTACCTAGGAAAGCGTCAAAGTTCAACATCCACTTTGTTTAAACATGGAATGCACTAAGTGGACATTTCTATATACAAGGCCTCTCCCATCATCTTAATCATGTCTGTGTGTGTGTGTGTGTGTGTGTGTGTGTGTGTGTGTGTGTGTGTGTGTGTGTGTGTGTGTGTGTGTGTGTGTGTGTGTGTGTGTGTGTGTGTGTGTGTGTGTGTGTGTGTGTGTGTGTGTGTGTGTCAGTGTGTGTGGGTCAGTGTGTGTGTGGGTCAGTGTGTGTCTGTGTGTGTGCCCCTCATAATGTGACATGCTAAGTGGTCGCTAGGAAATAATTGGACCAACAAAGAAAACACAGCTGTGGTCTTTCTCTAAACGCTTGTTGTGGCTCACATCGAGCAGCTCTGGTTGACATATGGAGAATGAACATACCCAGGTATTCATAAACACAAACTCATTATAAGATAATAATAAATCACACAGAGAAAAATAACTCCAGTACACATTGAAGTCCTGAGTTGATATTGTTAAAAAGTTAAAAAGTTTGTAGGCATTAAATAATTATTCATTATAAATTAATATAAGGATGGCTAAGCAGGGATTTACTGTTAGTTATAAAGGGGGCCTATTGTGTTAATATTAATGTTCAAAAAGCTCTTTATTTGTCTCATACTGCCTGTGCTGCAGCACCTCTTTTCACCCTCTGTCTGAAACCAGAGCCCAGTCTGCTCTGATTGGCTAGCTGGCCTGCTCTGTTGTGATTTGTCAGCCTCTACAAATGTCCCGCCCCTTAGCCTAACGTGCAATGTGTTGGAGTGCTAGCTTACAAAGAAGAAATCAAATCTGATCCCTTTACAACAAACACATACACTCGTTTTAGTTTTTTACTAATATTGTAATCCTGGTAGTAATCCCCAATTTATAGAAATGTAACAGTAATCAGATTTTTGTTATGTAACTGTGAGGGAATACAGTTACCTGTTTTGTATTCTGATTACGTGATCCTGTTACATGTAATCCAATACTCCTCAGACCTGCCAAGAATACCATGTCAACCAACAGAATGACCTTTAATGTATTTTCTTTTTGATTCAAATGGGTTCAGTTTCATTTCCCAGGGACACAACCTCTCCCTTAATCCATATGTTCTGCATTTCCTCTTAGCTTTATTTTCCTCTCTATTAAACCTAAAACTCCACCATCGTCAGCCAATCAGAAACACATGGAGCAGAAGAAGTAGAGATGCATACGGGAGGACAGCTAAATGAGACAGTAAAGGTTTATCTATTATATCTGTACTGACAGGGAGATTTAAAAGGCGACTGCAGGGTTTTATGAGGCTCTGGAGATTTAATAGAGCGCTTTTGACAACTCAGTTAAGTAGTTTTATGACACAGAGGTAATTGAAAACAGTGCTGTGAGCAAAGATGAGAGGGAGGTATGAGCTTCAACGATTACCTGGAAAGAAATTATTGGGAAAGATACATTAACAATAAAAAAGTCTTGGTTTTAAAGCATGGAAATAGTTAAATGGTCGGTCAGGGGTCAAGATATAAAGATAAAACGATTAACTTAAATAAGCCCCAAGAAATTAGTGTGCTGCACCATCATCGTGTTCATCACAGGAGACATCAATCAGTAAGAGGGAGGAGAGGAGAGGAACGAAAGGACATGATGGTGAAAAATGGGGAAGAAGTGGGCAGGCAAGAGTAAGATGAAGCAAAAAATAATACGTTAGAGAGAAGTGTTAAAAAAGAAATGAAGAAGAGTGAGGCTATGGGTACAAGACATACAAATACATATATACTTACACATAGAGCACATGTGTCAAACTCAAGGCCTGGGGGCCAAATCAGGCCCGTGGTGGATGTAATTTTGGCCCGCAGGATAATTTCTAATTACTATTAGATCTGGCCCGCCGGTATATTGCACGCACATCTTGACTCAATCCTGAGGATCTCCTCCGCTCAGAGCCTGACCCCAAACATTGATGAACTTGCACCCAAGATGAGATGCCAAGTATCTGGCTTGAACTAGCATCACAGAGCAGCACACTGAGTTTAATGGATGTTTCCTTCTGCACTTTTTTTCTTGAGACAACAGGGCATGTTTTTTTTTCTTTGAGGGAAATAGTTTTTTTGAAGTTGTTGTTGGCCTGTGGGGAAATGTGATCCTAAGAAATGACTCGGGAAAAGCTGCAGATAGAGCCATAAGAAATGAATGCAACTGATTATTTAATGTTTAATGTTGTTTTTAAAGGCAATCATTTAAGCTTTGTTAGTTCCAGGTTTAATATGTGCAATAAGTTCATTTCAATACGTTTTGCAATAAACATTGAACCAGTCCGGCCCTCGACTAGCACCTATATTTTTATTTTGGCCCACTGTGTATTTGAGTTTGACACCCCTGACATAGAGTATATTCACACATATATATATGCTAACATAAGTATACATACAATAATACATAAATACATCCTTGTTTGGATAGAGATCCAAAATTCCAGAAAGTGAGATCAAGAGAAGGAAGATTTAAAAACACAATAATAATAATAAATACATTTGAAAAAATAACAAAAACAAATAACTCAGGGATCATTTAAAAGTATTTGGTTGTTTTTCATGTGCATTTGGATGAGAGATGGATACTAAAAACAACGTACTGATGAGATTGAATAACATGCAGAATAGAAAACCCAGGAGGATGGTGGGAAGATGTTGGAATAGGCAGAATAAAATAGGAAATTGTTGGGGTAATTGTCACAGAGGATGTGGCAAGAGAAAGAGGTAAGGAGGAAATACATGGCATGTGGAAGCCTGAGAGTGGAGATACTGCATCTATTGTTTCACCACTGCTCTGTCTCTAGCCCACAGTGAGAGTGTTTGTTGATACAAGTTTAGAGTAGATAAAGTGTGGTGGAGGAAGAGGATGAAGGAGGAAGGCTGAATACCAACAGATAGAGTGAAGCTTAGGAAAGAATGCAGACTGGTTAGATGAACATATTTGGGGAAGGAAAGACCTAACAAAGCAGGATGGGAAGACAAAAGAAAGGGCAAAAATATATGTTTTTTTTCTTCGAATTGTTGCCTCTCTTTGCCTGCTTTAAATGGATTGTATTACACAGCTTAGTTGAATACTTGATTATTATTGGTCAATTTGAACATTCCAGAGGTCTGCTATTTATAGATGGATATAGATCTGCTAAGTAGAACAGACCGTTGCTAAGGAGAACAGACTGTTGCTAAGGAGACTAAGGAGAACAGAACGTTGCTAAGGAGAACAGAACGTTGCTAAGGAGAACAGACCGTTGCCAAGGAGACTAAGGAGAACAGACCGTTGCTAAGGAGAACAGACCATTGCTAAGGAGACTAAGGAGAACAGACCGTTGCTAAGGAGAACAGACCATTGCTAAGGAGAATCAAGGGAATTTGTGCAGTCATATTTAACCAAAGTAATAAGTCTGGTCAATTTAACACCAGCTGTTGAAAACAAACATTAGTTTTCCACCATCAGAAAACACAGGGGAATCATTTTTGAATATTTGTATATTTGTGGGGATCAATATACTTTGGAGTCATGATGACTAAACTGTCCCCATAAAGAAAAGAAAAATAGAACAAGAGAAGGAAAGAGGTTAAAAGACAGAGAGCTGGATGTCAGAGAAATCAACAGAAGAAGACAGACAGGAAGTAAACACTAACGGTAACAGCAGAAGAAATGAAAGGACGAAAGTCAGAGAGACAAAAACAAAACCTGCTCCTTGTTTATTCCCTTCCTCCACTCCCCTTTCCAACACTCCCACTTCTCATGCACTCACCTTTCTCCTGGCTCACACTCTCCTCTCTGCTCCTCCTTCTGCCTCCACCTCTTTCTGTCTTTATGTTTTTCTGGTTAAGTTATTTAAAAAACCTCCAGAAAGCTTCTCTGTCCTCTCGTCTCCTCTTCTGCACTCTCCAGGTTCAAATGAACTTGTACAACCTCATCAACAAGAGTACTATTATAACTGACTTACTGTAATTTTTTAAATCATAATTTTAAAAATTATTGATTCGAAAATAATATGAAACAGTACTATTACGTCTGGGTCTCTGTGTTTCATTAAAGCTCGGCTTTGTGTGTGTGTGTGTGTGTGTGTGTGTGTGTGTGTGTGGTGTGTGTGTGTGGTGTGTGTGTGTGTGTGGTGTGTGTGTGTGTGTGTGTGGGGGGGGGGGGGGGGGGTGGGTGTGTGTGTGTGTGTGTGTGTGTGTGGGGGGGGGGGGTGGGTGTGGGGGGTGGGTGTGTGTGTGTGTGTGTGTGTGTGGTGTGTGTGTGTGTGTGGGGGGGTGGGTGTGGAACGAGTCATTTTGTGAGAGAGAGAGAGAGAGCCGGAGATCGTTGTTGTTAGCTTCTGGTGCTAGCGAGCTACGTTAACGGATATAAGGAGTTTTTTCAACAACAAGGTGGAGGAGAGTCCTCTCCTGTCAGACTGAGAGTCTCAGTGAGCTAAAGGACTCTCTCTGTGTTATCTCAGTGGGTCTCAGACGTTTTGGTCACTATTAATGTAAACAATTATTTCCGAGGCACACGTTTATATGATCATTATAGTTATAAAAAAATAAGAGAATAAATGAAAAACAGGTATGAAATACTATATGACAGTAAAACAAGAATAACATTTAAAAGGGTGAATTGTAAAATATCCATAAAGAAAAAGTAAATCTGTTTACAGTTCTGTTTCAAATGGGTGTTGAGAGAGGTATCCATAGATCTCTTCATTTTGCTCTCAAAGTGCACCAGATTGATGCATTTAACTTCAATATTTAAAAATAAATCTTCCCGGGGTAGCTTGCCCCCGGACCCCCCTATGTGAGGTCCACACACCACCTATAAAAATAGCACTTTACCCCTGCTTACACTTATATGCCGTGAGCTGATTATCG